GACTGTCATAACATTGTTATGTGTTCAATGTTATGTGTCATAACTTTGTTATGTGTTCAATGTTATGTGTCATAACTTTGTTATGTGTGCAATGTATAGTTTAAGATAACAGAATCAAATAATTTGGCAACAAGCACAACACTTTCATATGAACCTTTTTTTCCATCTATTTCTGTACGATATACGATGAGGGTGTCGCTTTGATGACTCACTCTGTATATATTTAATATCACGCTGCAATAACGGTCTTAACTTAATCTTAACTCTCTTATTGCTTAATTCACGGTTGCCAACTAAACTTGAAAAAACTGTAAGTCGATTTAATTCTTAAGTAAAACATAGAATGTGCTATATTTTTGCAAAGGTCCTTTTATGCGCATTATATGACAAAATATACAGATTGTGCCATTTAAAAATATCTTTTATTAGTTAATAACTAGGAAAATATTTGCGTACTGCATTTGAAATTTACATTATTTGATACTAAGTGATAAAGTGCTTTCGCAGTGTCTCCAAAGAATGTATAAAAAATCACAGGAAAAGGCTTAGCTTTTCCAGAAGTGCAGTTTTCTGCAAAAGACCCAGTATCTCTAATACTGTTAGATATATCGAGATAAAATTCGGTCATACAAATCAAGGTTCGGACACCGACATCGGTTTTGGTCTATCTGGTATAGAAATAAGAGTTTCCATTTAAAAGTGTCGAATCTGGCTCACCCAGTACATGCTAAGTTCAATAGGGGTGACGATGAACAATATCGCATAATTGCCTCAAATTTCACATTTGAAAAATGGTGGCTTTTGAGTTACTGGCAACTATCAATTAAAGACTTGGCTTTGTGCGAATACTAATAATGTTTTAAGTTTTTTTTTCAATTTTTCACCACCATTGCTATTGATACCAGAGGTAAAACGATCGCTCATTTTGAGGTTAGTTTGGGTTTTAAAGGTTTCTTGTGGTTCAAAAAAAAAGTAATTAATTGTTCGTACGTTTTTCAGTTTTTCAATCGCCTTAGCACAGGACCACGGGATTATGAAAATATTGTGGCTTAGTCACTCAGAGGTTTTCACAAATTTGTTTTGAAAAATTTAGTTGCATTACATATTTGTTAATGGCTGTTCTAGTCAAGTATTAATAATACTAGATATTCAAGCAAATAATGTTGTTGTTCTGTGTATCGCAAAAAAATTACCGGAGGACTATTGTTTTGCACCCAAATTATATGCAAATAACGAAATGAGTTGCAAAAATGGTAACTTTACAAATGTTCGAAATGCATGCTACTATTTTCAATGCACACATTTAATCAGCATCGCGTGCTTGATACTGCTGCATTCATTTCTCCTCTAAAATATTGGCAAAAAATATTAAATGTGATGTCTCTAGTTGTGATAAGCAATGATTTTGCTCGATCTCAGAAATAGTCTTACCTCTAGTTGAGTGAGATCTGTAAATGTAGGAGCTATGAAAGCTAAATTATCTTGTCTGATCCAAAGATACATTTTAATCAAAATTCAGGAAATTGTCGGGAAATGTGAACATGATCATTATTATACGACCACATATATTTTAGGAAGTTTAAGCAATTACAGTAATTTCAATGTGCGAATCTGATTGCGAAAGATGATATACCTACCATAACTTTACAGTGATTCACACTAGTTCAAAATAGGATTAACGAAGATCCGATAATTTTCCAAGCATACAGAGCAATTAGCAGCAAATAAGTGAATGTTCAAAACTTGCTTCATATTGGCCCTGGTAGTAGAAGTAGTTTGACACGATATGAATGCATATTATGGTTCTTTAAAATACTGAAGCCGGAGTTTTGATAACGCTTGACCCAAAATGTACTGTTATTCTACTTACATAAGTATCAAAGGGTGTATAAGCAAGAACGCGAAGTAGGTACATTGGTTTAAGCAACATGAAAAATTTCAAAAAATATCAATATTTCAAACCACCCTGCTCTAGGAAAAACTATTTTGACAGGAACAACATCGTAGGGAGAAAAATCGCTAATTGTAGCAAAATATGTTGATGTCTTTTTTACTATTTTTATTGCAAAATAATTATAAAAACTAATAAGTTAATTATTATTAATGAAACGTTAGCCCACCTGGGAGTAAAAATTAATACACATGGTAATAATTAAATAAGTGTTAATTGGGATTCCCATTTAGCAATATTGTATTAGAAGTTCGAAGCAAAGTTCAATAATATTCTTACAATATTTATTTTTGATGTTAATGTTAGTCTAGTAGCCCCTTTAAAGTTTCAATTATTTTCAACTCAATGACATATAAAGCTGTACATCCACTGTTTAAAACCGAACCTATGGAACCATGTTCCTTAGAAAGTCTGGCGAAGTACGATCACGGTTGTAGTGGCTTTTCAGTTAAATTGGAAGGATTAATTCAAACGAGTCTATTTTAATATTAGTAGACGTTCTCCAAAGTTGACAATTTTTCATGCCCATTACTTCGATGTCTTTTGCGTTTGTTCGAAGAATCTAATCTAAGGTTTTAATTACATCATAGTAATGGTGCCCTTAAACTTCAGGTTTGCTTCTTAACCATGTCTTAATACTCGATAATAACTTTTTGTCAATGCCGTTAAGTTTTCAACATTTTGTTTGTGGCCAATCCTAGGTCTACTAGTCCAAACAAGACAGAACGGATTAATTTTAGACTAAAGTTGTCAGAGTAACTTTGTAAACACAGAAGCAAATATTGGAACGCTCAGCATCGAAATAATGGCAGTTAGTTCAATTCTATGGTGAAGCTGTTTGTTACAGTTAATCGTGTTTGCAAATATTTTGCTTTGACTGCTTTGTGTTTGCTAAGTCTACCAAGCCAAAATTAAGGAAACCAACACCTATAGAAATTTATTAAATAAGTAAAGTTAAATTGCTACAATTTACGAGCATTTTCAAAATTGGGGCCCGGATTCCGATTCAGCAATTACGACTCCGTGAAACAGTAAAATGTTCTTTTTTGTTTTATTAGTTGCTAAATTCATGTTAGAAATCAGCATCAACTTAATGCTTCATAATCTTTCTTATTTTTCTTTGTAGTACCCCAGTAAGGTTAGAAAGATTGTTCCATTTCGGTTATAACAAATAAAAACGCTGTATCATCAATTTAAATTCAAGGCATTGTAGTATTGCTTTCAATCTTTTTTAGTCTGATATCAAGTAAAATGTTTAACAAACCAATTAAAATTTGTTCAATACCAAATTGCGATAGAGTAGGTTAAATGTTACAATATTATTAATTAAGGAATTTGTAACAAACGTACCGTTTGAGCTGAAATGTATCAAAATAACCTGAACTTTATCGAAATAAATTAAAATAAAGAAATGCTGGGAACTAGAACTCGTTATTGATGAGCTGATCTATTAAAAATGTGGATGGACATTTTTAAAGCATGTGTAGTACAGATGTGATTAATGAAAATTTTAATTTTGTTGCTGATCACTATATAATTTAATGTAATGTAGTTTTCTCAGAGACTCTTTCTCAGATGATTTAATACTAATGCGCCTTTTTCATCTCTAACCGTAGTGTAAATGTGTGTCAAATGTTCTGCATTTATGGGCTTCGTTTGCTCTTTCCTGGAATAATTCACGAGTTTATTCTAAAGTAATAGAAACAAGAATATTTTTATAACATTCGAAATTTGCCAATCAGCTGGCATATTAAACTCTGCATTCCAAAAAATTAGCTATGGATGTATATCATTTTGATCTGAAAACGGAAACGTGCTCAGTTATAAGCTAAACCGCGTCCAAGTGTTTTTCAGAAGACCAGATCAGACCACATCAAACCAAGCGCCATATTTTTCGTTTTTCTAAATTATTCCTATCATGTAAAGGTTTTAAAACAAGTGGCATCCTTACCATGAAACATTACGGCATTCATCTTTCTTAGGTAGCTAATGTATAAAAACAGAAGCGCTGAGAATCTGTAGCTAAATTGTCCACGGCTTAACAACGAAAATGTCTTGTAATCGTAACTACAAAATTCATAGAACTGAAAAACTTGTAAGAGTGTTAGCAGAAGTCAATTCTTGCTCAAAACAAAGCGAAAGAGTATTAATTAACTTTTTGAGCTGTCTGGATCATAAACGTTTTTGCAATTGTTGCAGAAATTTGGAAATTGCGTAAGAAAGGTAGACGTTATTAAAAATGAACAACCATTGCTGTCAAGTTAAAATGAACCAGTTGTGTAGTTAGCAATTTGAACACTATAATTCTGATTATCCTGACCAACAAATTTTGAGCTATTTGAGATCAAAAGAAAAATAGGCGTGAAAATGCTCAATTAAAAAAATTTTAAATAAAAAAATTGCGTCTGCAAAGAAATTACTAATTAATTACAAAACCTGGTCTTAACGAAAATATGCTTTGTGGAAAGATAACTGTTAGTGGTTAAGTATAATAATAGGCAGTTACTTCAAAATTTAATAGCTGTTTGGAAATGTTTCTTCGTTTTTGTCACTAAAATCCTTTTAAATCCATCAAGTGACAATTGAGCACCTGCCAATTACACAGACCCATTATTGCTTTTAGTTCATACTAATATAGCGTAGGTTTTATATTGTTCAAATTTCGAAGTTACAGAAGCTGTTGTATTGAAAATATTTAAACCTGACAAATAGTCTTTTGTCTCAGAATTCCTTGCATTCAAGTTCAATTTTGTTCAAATTAAATGTCTTATATTAGTTATAGTTAGAATATTTTAATGAAAATTAATATTTTATATGTTATAATAGGACAAATAACTGTATTCAATGTCAGGACACATACACAACGTTGTTTATTGAACTAATTTGATAATATAGGCAAAAAATGCCTACGACTTTTTACCAGTAGGTATCTTCATGATAGCAGATACAACAGCAGTTTCGCAACGACTTCATTTACATTCACTTCATTTTCTGGCAAATATTCAGAAACTTTCAAAATGTTGGGTATTTCTGACGTAGCTTTACTTACCCAGTAGCAGCAAACCTCGAAAAAGCTTGCATGATCTTCAGACTCAATTCTCTTTCTCTGGAGTTAAATTGCAATGACATGTTTAGAGGGTGGCCGAACACGTACTCGATCTCGTCTCCGTGCATCACTCCCATCCACTCGCCCCAAAGAGATGTACTTGTCCGCTGAAATAAAAGGAAACAATTGTAATAGGGAATTGTTGAGAGCTGTAGGTGGCTAATAAGCGTAGTTTTATGAAAAGTATACTTTTGGTGTCTTCTCGACTTTCAAACGAGGCTCATTAAGGCACTTTTCACGTAGCTCTTTAACATGTGTTTGGTTAGATAGTTTGTTGAAGTAAAGAGAAACTATTTTGCAAGTTTATTGAACCGATAACGTCACTTTGCTTAATCGAAGTAAAGAAATTACTCCAAAATAAATGATAACAAGTAAGTAAAATCAAACGTGCATTAATAATATCCAGGTTAATTACTTTAGGCAAAGTACAAGGTATGAATAAAGTGGATCAAACAGGGTTGTACCAAACACCTTAATATTTTCAGCATCAGATTGACAGCATTAAAAATTATTCTGAGAAATAAAAGCGAAACTATAACTAGTGTTCCTAATGTACTTTCATTAGCTGGTATGGCTTGTGAAGTAGTTTGGGTTTAGTTGAGTTTATATTTAAGTTTATGTTTAAGTTTATATTTAAAATTTTATAATTTTAAGTTCAGATAAACTTATATCAAAAATAAAAACAAGAAATACAAACTTAAACCTTCCGATATATCTACTAAATAAATTAGAATTTACTAGAAGGTTTGTAATTTTAGCAATATGTATTAAAAGTCATTGCGTTTCGTCCAATATCAACTATATAAAACGGCAACTAAATATATATTGTTCAAACATACACATGTTACGGTCAATTTAATTACATCGGGCATTATTTATACTGTCCGGGCAATTTAAAAAATGCCAAGTAAGAGCGGGCATTTTAATAATTCTGTATTTGCCTACGCTAATTTATTACATTGCCCGATCATTATACATACTGCTATTGTATCTCTGGGCAGTTTGGTGTCACCTCAAATTGCCGATGTGTGTATGGTGAGTAGTAAATATGATTTTTCTGTGAAACAAAACGGAGAAACTATCGATTAACTGTTGCAAGTGGCACGCAAGTTTGCTTCAATAATCGGCTAAATGAATTGTGTTTACCAAAAGGTCAGAATACACAAATTTTCACTATACCACAAAACTTGAAGTTAATAGAAAATATATGAGAGTACCTAAAAGCATAGTGAAAGTAATAAATAAAAACCCCGGCGACAATCAGTGCTTATGCAGTTTTGATATAAAGGTTATTGGAAGGCAGGAAAACTTGATTATACCTGGAGAAGAACGCAGATTACTTTTCACGTACGCCGAGGAAAGATATTTCTTTTATAGAATACATGTGTTTCAATTGGACACGGGCGGTGGTCGAATCCGCACGAAAAAAAAGATATATTTAAAGTATCAAACCGTCACAAGGGCATTTATTGCGAGACTGTCTTATGAGAAAAACCACAGTGTACCTAAAACGGTTTAGTTAGCGGATCGCTCTTGAGTAAAACATATACTCAAGATTCCAAGTTGATGTAATCGACATGCAGTCATAAGTTGATGACCAATATAAGTTCATACTTGTATACCCAGATCATTTAACCAAGTTTATTCAAGTTCGACCTCTTCAAAGCCAGAGAACAGAAGAAGTAGCTTATGTGCTTTGGGTCATTTTGACCATATTTGGAGCACCCACCATTTTGCAGAATAATAATGAGAGATAATTTGCTAATCATATTATTGACGAAATATGTAGCATATGGTTCTCGAGTTCCTTAGAACTTGCGAATCAGGATGTGAAAAGTATGGTTTGTTCGCTGCTAGAAGACAACAAAAACAAGGCAGGGCATGAAAGCTTACGTTTTGTTCAGCTTAGGAATAACAAGGCTCACAATTGTGGTATAAATTGAACTCCGTATGAGGCTATATTTGAAACAAGATAAAAATTGTATTTAAAAGCTTTTGCCTAACGACGTTATGTCTAAAATAGTCTATAAAGAGAACCGAAAAGAAATATTCAAAAAGCTAATTAATTTAGGGTTTGCAGAAGATGATGCGCTGCAAAATAAACCAGTGTCAAATTATTCAGCTGAGCTAAAAGCAAGTCAGAATTACGAAGAGCTGCCTTCTCCTTACAGTTATGATCAACCATCAGCTTTATACCAAATAAGGAAATTTGATTCCATAATAGTAACGGTAATCATGCCAGGAAAGCATGTAAGATACTGCAAATTTAAAGGTTCCCTAACCTCAGGCACCTCCAGGCCCAGTTTCAAGCCGATTACCTCTTATCAGCTGGGTTTAGTCCGAAATTACCTACCGCGAAGGATGTGCTTGAAGCACATTGCATTGGGGATTGTAACAGCAGAAAAAACTGAAATCGACCTAGCAAATGAATGCTTTACAAAATGTAAACCAGAAGTTGATAAATTAGTCACACCAAACGTAGTAAACAAAATAGACTGTTTGGACTGTGATAACACTTACAAAGTTCAAAGAGGACAATATGATAATAAACTAATTTACTAACACAAATATTGCATAAGGAAAAATAACAAATATGGAACAGAATTAGCACAACATAATGAAAATAATTATCATACAAAAGAGTCCATGAAATAACATAAATAAAAAAACGTGACAAAGCCAAGAACTTTAGATCAGACAATCTAAACTCAATATATCAAATATCAATTAAATGAAAAATGAAATAAACATGGAACGTTAACCACCAGTATATTGTAAGGTAGGTATGCAGATCAAAAATAGTATCTTCTGAATGTATAGGAAAAATAGGTGAAAGAAAAGAATTAAATATAAAAAGCTTTTTCGTTTTTGGTTCTGAAATGGCAAGCATTAGTATGCCAATATATCAGTCACAACACTAACGGAGCAGCAACTACCTACACGAGGAATAATGTAAAATTGTAGAAGGTGGAATTCTGACCTTTTGTCAAAATGTATTCCTGATTCCTAACCTTCAGTTTTAATAATCTTAAACTGTTCTAGTCTTCAGTATGACAGGCTGTGCAAATTAACATTTTTTTCTTCAAAATTGTAAAATGTTAAGGTGGTTCATGTTAATGTTTTTAAATGACCAACTATTTTAACAATAGGTTATTGCAGACAATCTGAAGATGGTGAAAAGATACCGAAACTTAAAATAATTTGTGAATTCGATATAAATGACTGAAACCCAGGAAAATAGTTTATTTTTGCATCATTTCTTGGATTCTTCTTTTATGATAATTTGTTTCCCTAATTAATATATCTGCGTTGTCAAAATCAAAATTATGTAACATATGGTGTGCATGTTGTGTTAATGCTGTTTTATTTTCACTAGTATTTCTCACTCTATTTGTGTTCGTATATTCTCTTTTTTAAATACTGTTTTTGTTTGTCCTATATATGTATTATCACATTCAAAACAATTCACTCTATATACAGTATTTGGTATATCCATTTTGTCAGTTTTTGGTTTTAGTTTTGGGAAACATTCAGTTGATAAGTTGTTTTTTGTTTTTCTGCGATTATAATGTTGTGTGGCTTTAGTACTTTTGAAATTTTCCTATTGATTTCTGGAATATATGGTAGTGATATATTTGTATTGTTTCTTTGTTCCTCATTATTGTTATATTTAGTTGAGTTGTAAATTTTGTTAATTCTTCGCTTTATTATTGGTTCAGAAAATTTTTTTGGGTAGTTATTATTAAGTATAATTTTTCTGATTTTTTAAAATTTTCTTGTCTGTAATTTGGGTGTGATAATTTTATAGCTCTATCTGTCTTAAGTGCAGTTATTACGCTTTTTTATATTTTTGGGGTGCATATGAATTATAGCTTAAATATCTTCCGGGTCAACCTTCTTTTGTATACCAATTTGTTTTTATTTCATCTGAATTATCACAATTTACTGTTATGTCTAAAAAAATAATTGATTGATTTTTATCCTTTTCTAATTTATCTAGGGTATGTTGAACTTCATCTTTGGGTAAACACATTAAGCAATCATCTACATAGCGCTTAAAGAAAGTTGGTTTATAATTTAGGCTTGTTATTATGTTTTTTTCCAAGCTTTCCACAACAAGATTAGCAATTGTCGCTGATATGGGGGAACCCATTACTACACCGTATATTTGTGAATAATATTTGTTTTCAAACTTGAAATATGTAGATTTTAGGGTTCTACCGCTTCAATAAATTCTTTTTCTGGAATTGTTGTATGTTGTTCAATTTCCTTCCATTTATTTCTTATACATTCATGTCCAATTGGGATATTGGTATATAATTATGTTATTATTATTATTTTTTTATATTATTGTTATTTATATTATTATTACAAGTGATTTTTTGGTTTTTGATAAATTCGCAAAAATTTCGAGAGTCCCTAATATGATATTCTGGTCAAGGCAAAACAAATAAAAAAGATTGATAGACGTATAACAAAACAATCTTTGGGGATGGATAAATGTCTAGCAAACGAAAGTTGGATAAAGAATTTGACAAAAAAAAACATACCAAATCCGGTAATGTATATTTTATCGCTTGGACCAAAGTTTTTCCTAAATAAATCTCAATATAAACCCATTGATAACATCATAACAAACGTCAAAAATGGAATCTTTTCACTAAACAATGAACTAAAGATTAATGTCAGAGACAAATTATGTAACATATTAACAAATTTTAAAAATCAAAAAAAACAACAAAAAAAAATTGAAACTAGAATAGACAGACTGATATCTGAAACAAAACAATTCCTAAATAAAAATTCAAATATATGTGTCCTAACAGCAGATAAATGTAATAAAACAGTAATTATGCTTAAAAACTAATACCAAACGAAAATGCTAGCCTTACTAAATGACATCAATACATATAAATAGGAAAAAAAGATTTTACCAGTAATATACAAACAAAACTAAATAAAATAATAAATTTTCGGTTTAAACTAGAACAGAACTACTTAACTGAACAAACAAAACGAACACTGTACTGCAGTAACGGCCAAGCACCAGTAATATACGGACTACCTAAACTTCATAAAAACAACATATCATTACGACGAATCGTCA